AGAGAGAGGCTACAGATTTTAAAATGGTAACATTAGGATTATGTTTCATTTAAAAAAACAAAACAAAATTGCAGCTGGGCTTTTTCAGGTGTTGTAATTACTTCCGTATGATTACTGACCAGCGATCCTGTCAGAAGCAATAATAATATGGAAAAGTGCTAAAATAGTAAGCAAAACCTAGTAATAAAATAAAAAAAAAATTAAAACCCCATACAGAGACTAAAAATAGAACAAAGAAGAGAATTAATTCTTGATAGGTTTTTCAAGCAACAGAATAAAATTTAGCAAACTTTGAAGAGGTATCATTCTAGTTGGGCAATAAGTAATGTAAACAGAGTGGGTGAGTGGCCAGGTAGATGACTAAAAAGAATGATTATGAAGTGAGTGCATGTGTCTTTTTTAAAAAGGGATCATAGAAAAGGAAATGAACTGTAAATTAAATGGCTCCAATTTCACATGGGCAAAACCAGATAGTAATCTCTTAAATTTCTCTTCCAGAATATCCAAGGGTAGCATGTTTATGCAAACCAATGTTAAAGGTTTTTTTTTTCAATTTAAGAGTAGTTTTAATAGTGAGGTGGGTGGCATACAAATTTAATAAATAAATTTGATTGGGGTAATGAGCTGGATAGACAATGCTTTCTAAAAAGAATTCTTTAGGTATGAATGGTCAGTCTAATTGCCTATCCATACACATTCACATGGGTAACAGCTATTTTTTTTTGTCACTAACTCCTGCCTTTCTGACAGGATGGTGTACTTTTACAACTAGAAACAGAAGCTGCTAGACTGAGGAAGAAACAAGTGGAATTTAACTTCTCCCACAAATCTACATTTTGGGATTTGAGATAGAAGAACAGAAAAATCCTGGCTTTTACCACCTTCTACAGCCTTAGAATTAAGTGCTGGAAATTTCCAGAAAAAGCAAATTGGGTAAAGAGGAAAACACTTCCCCCCCCCACCCCAAGAGACTCATTTCTTCTTGCAGAAATAGATAAACACTTTAGCCAGGAAATTATATTAGGCCCTTGATTCATTTTTTCCTATATGCTAGACCAGGGGTGTCAAACTCGTGGCCCGTGGCCCGAATCTGGCCCATGGGGTGCTTAGATCTGGTCCACAGGACAGCCCTGGAAACAGCGAAGAACCGGCCCGCAATGCCTCTGCCAGCGAAAATGAAGCTTGTGAGGGCCACATGCGGCCCTCCCGAGCCAGTTTACACTAGCAGAGGGTTGCAGGAGGCCATCCCAGCCAAAAATGGAAATCAGGAACCCATTTTTGCTGGCAGAGCAGTTGGGCCACCATAGCTGGCCCCCTGACACAAGTGACATCATGCTGGCCATGCCCACCCTGGCTCCCATACACAACCCTGGTGGTCATACACAACCCTGATGTGGCCCTCAATGAAATTGAGTTTGACACCCCTGTGCTAGACTATTATAGTAGACTTCTACCAACTTATGGTTTGCTGAGAACATTGCATGTATTTCTATAAATCAGGCTTAATTTATTATCTGTTTTACTTTTTAAAAGAGTTTTATTTTGTTTATCGTTTGTGATTTACCTCTATTCACAAACCTATAAACAGCATGGCCAGGAAGTTGTATTATAAAAATTATTTCTTTGCCTCTTCTCACTGCCCCATTTACATTTTTTTATTACCAGAAAAACACATCTGTTGCACCCCAGTGTGAGGGAGAGATATTGGTTGAGATGCTCCCTAGAAGATTAATGGTGATGATGACAGAAACTGTGAAGCTGCTACTCCAAGGCAGAGACTCATGAACAGGGTGTGTAGAACCAGGAGGCTTCTGGAACAGGAGGTAGATTAGTTCTCAGCTGGAAAGAACTTGCCTATCTTACGATAAACTTGATACTGGAAGATAATGGAGAAAGGATGGGGGAACATCATTAACCAATAATCACTCTTTTCTTAGTTTCTACCCTGAAAACACCAGCATCTTGATGGAGAACAATGTTAGGAACGGGTGGGTTCTACTTACCTTTACTACGGTTCGCAATGGGATCGTACATGCGCAGATTGCCTATGATGACATTGGGGCGGTGGGTGGAGCCTCCCGCTGGTTTTACTACCGGTTTGTGCGAACCGGTCTGAACTGGGGGCAACCCACCACTGGTTGGGAATCAAAAGTATTCTTACTGTCTTGATTTCAATGGGGCAAAATTGTAATAGAGCTTGATTTGACCACCATATAGCTGAGATTTTGCTAAGAATATTTTCTTGCAATAGAGAAGAATAATGCAATATCGGAACATTAAACAGATTGAAAGTCTAATGTTAAATTGAGTTTTATGGGAAATATAATCAAGGCTTGAAAAACTATGCTCAGATATTTACAATTTTTTCCTGGATCTCTTACATGTGTATTTAACACTCAAGATCAGACTTTAGGGTTTAGCAAAAATGAGAAACTTAGCTTTGGAAGGCTTTATCTTTAATCTTCTTCCCTGCAATAATGAGCAAGAGAACATAAGGCCACTTTAAGCCCAGTGCAATTTCCCACAATAGGACTGTGCAAAAGGAGAGTTGCAGTATGCTTTCTAGCCAGCTTTGGAAGATTATGAGTTAAGCTGGCCAAGATATCATGACAATTATGTGATTAATATAAATGTTAAGTATGAATATGGTGCCAAGATCCAATCCTGCCTTCAGATCAGGATTTCTTTTATTAAATCACACAATGAAATTTCAAACAGGAATTTTCATCAAGTTTGCAGAATTGCAGGAGTAGACAGCAACCCACCAGAATTCTCAAGTTCTAGTCGCCACTTGACTTTTGACAAATCAGTCAAATGTAAACCTGATTGTGTAAAGGCTGCATATAAATAAGAGTCAAGTTTAGAAGTGTGATTTTCATTTAAGTGTTGTAGAATACAGACTTGGTCTAATAGGGAATAGATAACTCTGAAGCCGATTGTTCTTCTACCAGAAAGCATTCAAAATTGAAGAATGTATAATTTAAATATTTAGTGTAAATCTTGCTGATTAAATGAATGAGTATGATGGGGAAATAATAAATTTCTTTTAATTTCATTATCTACATTATCATATAAAGAAATTATATGTTGTATGTCCCAGTCCCCAGGTATGAAAATTATTTAAGGGGGAAAGGAGGCTACTACTGGGCTGCACCATTTTAGAGTACAAGTAGTTCCAGCTTTAACAAAATCAGTTTGGAGGTTTGTCAAATTTGAACATTTTGACCTGGCGTGGTCCTTCCCTCTCTTGGAATATTATGCTTCCTTGTACATTTTACTATATTCTCACGGAATATCCATAAGGTGGAAATGCAGAATCAAAGATATGTGTATTTTCCATATATTCATAAAATATAATTGGACATATTTTTCTTGCCTGCTAATCCTTGCAAATTAGCTGATATAAAGATAATTTATATAATTTCAAATTACTAAAAATTGGGTATTCTGACTTTTACTTCATTTAGATTCCATTAAATGCAACCATGTAATCCCCAGGTGACTGAAAATGAATTATCCTTTTTCTGGCTGCAAGCTGCTTAAAGCAATGCTGTTTTTCAGTGTTCACAAAGGCAATACATTTGCCACAGAACTTTGCAGTTCTTGATTTAATTAGAAGTCTCAGTGCTGTGCTCTGTACTCATTTATATTGGCACAAAACATCTGGACTTTCTTCATTAAAGTCAGGGGAACGTCTAGTGAATAAAATGGAATTGTTGTGCGTGAATTAAAACTGCAAATTTTAGAACACTTAAGTGGAAGATTTGCAATTATAAAGGCAGTCTGTTTTGTGCTCTAGCTAACATGGCCAATGCACATTAGTTAGTATCCTAAAAGTCTACAGAGGAAGAAATAAGCTGCTGGTTATAGAAATTACAGTACTCAGGAGTTCTCCACTGTATTCAGTTTTGAAGGAGAAGCAGTACTGTACATCGAATAATCAAAATCCTCTTCAGTCCAGTGTTTGCTTTCCATGGTAGTCAGCCAGGTGCTCACTGAAAAATCTGAAAAAATGAATGTGCACTAGCTCACACAGCATGTGATTATGCCTAGATAGCACTGAAACCCAAGCCACTGATTAACCTACATTTGAGAAGCAGGTTAACCTCAAGTCAGAATCATAATCTGTAATAGGTTTACTTATTTCATAGAATCTTATCTTCAGTCAGTATGTCAGATTAAACCAGATGGAGGAAAGGTTAATCTATGTTCTGCTACTTTTCTGTTACCCCCACCCTCTAGAGGCATTTTGTGTGTGTGTGTGTGTGAGAGGGAGAGAGATTAGCACCCCAAATTATATGGAATGGCCACATTTTGAGAATTTTGCTAAAGGCCAGGAGGCTACTGACATTGTACCACAAATGGGAGTGTACCTAAATTGTGTGGGACAATAAGTTAGAAGACACATATTCTGGGGTTCCATTCAGCCCAGGGCAGGAGTTTCCCGGTGAACCCCTTCTATTACAATATGTGGGCAAGTCGACTCTTGTTGGGAAAAGCGTTCCTGTCAGTACCCAGCAGGAGCCAAGCTATGTGGGATCCCATGGATGATTTTTAGACATTTTTGAACCCAGTCTCTTCCCTCCTCTCTAATGATTCGATTGGCCATGCAGTGCAAAAAAATCGCGATAAACCCTTCCAGTGCAATGCATAGTAGTTGACTACTGATGGCAGCTTTAAATCTTATAGCCAACATCGCGCAGCGACACAAATACCGACCCCCAAATCCCCCAATCACAGAAAAGAACAGACGAGGAGGAAAGGGGTGGGGCTGCCGCGGTGGTCGACTAAGGGCTTGAATCAGAAAAGAGTTTCCTGTGGCGAAGAAGGCTTCTCTTATTTCACTTCCTCTCTGGGAGCTCCGCGCTCCCCAAAACTCTTCTCAAGCTTGCAGATGCCATATGGGGAGGAGGGGGGGGGCGTGGCAAGCCGAGCCTGCCGCGTGAGAAGAGGGGGCGTTGGGAACCTTTAAAACCATTCGGCCCCGCCCGGGGAGGTCTTGTTCCCGCTTAAATTATTATATTCCATCTCCCCCACCCCACTTTCCTCAGGAGAGTGACGCGCGCCCGCCCGCTTCCCAATTTGCCGCGCGGAGCGGCTACGTGCCTTTGAGCTTGTGGCGAATGTCTTTTTTTTCTCTCTCTCACTTACGGGTTCTTGTGGGAGGTCCCGCCCCGCCCCATCCTTCCTCGAGGGAGGGGAAGGGAGAAAGGCGAGGGAAAAAGGGGGCGCGTCTCCTGGTCTGAGGGACTTTTTTTTTTTGCCTCCCCGACAGATAAAGCGACCTGCTTTGAAACGGAGCGGCGCTGCTTCCCACGGAGCTCCGAAGTGGGGCGGGAGGGGGGAAAAAAAAAAAAAAAGCGAAGCTGGCTTCTCCCGAGGCGGGAGCTTTGGCTTAGCGTCGGCGCCATGCTATGGAGAACCGCGGCTCGGCAGTCCTGAGTTTGGGGCAACTTTTTGCTCCCTTCGGGGAGCACCAGCCCAACGAAGAAGCTGCATTAGCCCCAGCATGGCGAGAAGACGCCGAGGAAGAGGAGGAGGGGACGGCAGCGGAGGAGAGCCAGCAGCAACCGCGGGACTGCACCGTGGCAGCCGCCCGGGAGAAGGACGAGGAGGCGCTGCTGGAGAGGCGCCGTCGCCGCGGCCGCTCCTTCTCGCTGCCGGACAGCCCTTCTTTGGCAGCGGCGCGGTTCTTCCAGAGAAGGCGATTGCCGGACGACAGCGACGGGAGCGAGGATGACGAGGACGACGGGGCGGCTTCGCCGACGGGGGGCCTCGGCGGCTGCTGCACCAAGTGCAAGAAGCGGGTGCAGTTCGCCGATTCCCTGGGCTTGTGCTTGGCCAGCGTGAAGCACTACAGCGCGGCCGAGGAGCCGCAGGTTCCCCACGCCGTGCTCTCCCGCTTGCAGAGCTTCCCCATGAGGCAGAGGGACTTCGAGGACTTCACCGCCGCCTTGGCCGAGTTGGGGGGTTGCGCGTCGTCGTCGTCGCTTTTTCCTCGGCCTCCGCCTCAGGTCCCGCTCCAGCTCGCGCCCCCGTTGGATGGGGCGGACAAGCAAAACGGCGCCGAGCGGCTGCAGCGGGACCGCGTCTGCTTGGAGGAGGTGGCGGGTACGGCGCTGTCCGGGGCGCCCACGGACGTGCGCGGCGTGGTGAGGGTGCTGAGTTGCCCCGGCTCCAAGGAGGTGACGGTGCGCTACACTTTCAACGAGTGGCTTTCTTTCCTGGACGTCCCGGCTCTGCAGCTCCCCGATGGGGACCCTTCGGATGCCTCCGCTCCGGTCGAGCGTTACCAGTTCTCGCTCTGTCTTCCTCCTGGTTTGCCAGACGGGACGGCCGTGCATTTCGCTATCTGCTATCGAAGCCAGCAAGGGGAGCATTGGGACAACAACGGCGGGGCCAATTACACCCTCCGAGATTGCAGCTCCGAAAAGTCAGCAACTCCCCTGTGATGAGACTCGGGAGGCGGGTTGCCAACCGGCTCTTGCGAGAGCCTGAAATTGCTCGAGAAACCAGCCTAATTTGCCTTGCGTTATTACAATCTTCCTGAGTCCTGCAACACAGCATCCTAAGGGCTGAACCTATCCACGACTTGCCTTTGTGCCCCTTTCTTCCTTCTAGCGGTCCAAGCTTGCGAGATAGCCAGCCATACCTTCGCGCTTCAGTCGTCGTGCCACCAGCCTGGTAAGCCTTGCGGGCTTCGAATTGGATTGAAGAGGCAGCCGAATGGGAGAATCGTGGTCCGGCTTAGGAGAGAGAAGCCTGCATTTGCGTTGTTACCAGAATCCTGAATATTTCTGGCACTTTTGACCAGGAAAATGAGAATGCTTTAAGACCCATTGGATAGCAGTTCTAGTGAAGTCTCTTTTCCGGTATGGGTATCTGAGTTGGGGCTATGTCCATTTTTGGGTATGAAAAAGAGAATGAACTACAGTAGGATTGGAACTTTGTCCCCTTTAAAGCCATCTTTATTGATTTGAGCTGCTTTTTCCTGTTTTAGGCAGTGACTTCTACAAAGCCTGGAAGAATGCTGCCCGAATTCAGAACACTTCTCTGGGAATTGGATAACTAGAGCAAAAAATGTTTGAATAGTGTTTTCCCTTGCCTATTGTGCCTTAGAACAAAGCTTCTTTATAATTGCAGCTATGAAATTATGTTACTTTTGCAATGTATCAGTCTATAAGGGATGACTACTCTCATTTTGCTGTAAGTGATAGGTATGTTGGAAACTATTTACTTAAAAGATTACTTACACTTCTTAGCAGGAATTGTTCAGGTCTTGAAGAAATGGTGCATGGTTTGCATTGAAAATGTTAATGTCTGTTCCATTACCCAAGGAATCACAATGTCTTAAGAACAATTCCTATGCTATTTGGAGGATCCGTATAAGCTGTGAACTAAGTATGTATGTGAGAACTCAAATCTGAATGACTATTAGTAGGTTGACTCTTGCCTAGAGGATGACCAAAGGAAAAGGAGGTACAACAGTAGAAGTTTTCTGTCTAAATGCAACTTGCATCCCCCCTCTCCCCATTGAAATGTAATAATTTTATAAAAGAGGACAAGTAAACAAGTTACCCACTGGGGCCTTTGGCTGTTCTATTGGCTATGAGTAGTGAAAAACACAAATACAACTAAAATAATTTTCTGCTTCATAACTACTTCATTCTTTAAAATGCAGATTCTGTATCTCCAAATCATCTAATGTTGAAGTTTGAAAACTTACCTGACAGTAATAAATGGAGTGCACAACACTGAATTGTAATTTTGAAGGAACAGTTCAGTAAACTGTTGATTAGTTGAATAGTTTCTTCCAGTTCTCCTCACTAAGTGATCTAAAATTAACCTGTTTAGCAATCAGGTTGAATTAAGATCTCAATGTAATTCTCTTCATATGTAACCGTGCAGAGTTAGGTGATGGGTGGCTATATAAATGTTTAAAATAAAATAATAAATACATTAAAATATTTGCCTTTCAAGGACAAAACTGCAGGTGTATGTTACAATTTTTTGCATTCCAGATGTCTCGGATTTTAATTAGCAGAATCCTTCCACACTGTTGCCTGCAGCGTAAGAATCCAGAATGTTGAAAAAATCTAATGCATATGAAGAGTCTTAGTTAGAAAGACCAGGGTGTGCTTCCAAAAATACTTTTCTAAACTTGGGGTCTTTTTAAATAAGCCATTCTCAGCATCTTTTAGGGGAAAAAAAACTTTTCTAAAGTTTCTGGAACTTTTAAAAGATACTGATACAGAGGCCTTGGTAGTTTGAAGTAACTGATTTTTCTCTTATGAGCATCTGGAAGAGAAATACTATATAATTAAAACCCACAGTTATTTAATAGTGAGGATGAAGGGAGATTATAAGAGAAGATAAAATATTATCTAACAAACTCAGCTTATTCATGTTTTCCAGTTGTAATGTGATTGTATCTTTTATTAGGAAGACCTGATAGTTTTTTAAGGAGAAGGGGGTACTTAAAATTTTGTAAGAAAATGTTTGCCAGGTATTTACAGGTGTAAACACTAGGTGCCTTGGCCCGGTATGGCTTTCAAATAGGTGTATTGCATGTTTGCAAATTGGTGAGGTCCTCTTCATATGCTGTTGCATTCCTATAAAGGAGATAGGACAAGCATTTATTTTTGTTGTGCAGAGCAGTCCTAACTTTTCTGGCTGCTTGCTGATTAACATATATTTAGAATGTAATCATTATGAACAATATACTTCCTTTTTTAACGAGTATTGTTTTAAAATTTCATGGTGATCCCAGTTGTTTGTTTAAAGCATAGTCTGACACAAATATATATTAATCATGCACTCAGCAGATGAATCAGGACGAAGATTAGATTATAATTGAAATTTAAATGCTACACAGCCAGTATGGAAAGAGGCACACTGATTTGTAGTATTTTAGTTTTTCTTTAAAAAAAAGATTCTTGTTGCTGAAATAATAGATTTATTTGTTCAGTATTCAGGAAAAAAAATCATTTAAAAAAGATGTTGTTTTATAAATGCACAAACTCCTGTAGAGTTTATTTCTTCTTAGTATTATTTCCAAAATGTTAGTGGTGCAACTGAAAAAGTTGAAAAACTGAAAAAAATATTCCTTTTGGAATAGAAAATACTTGATATAGGGCCACAGTCAGTAGTGAGTCATAATTCATTTCCAACATAAACTTTGCTGCCACTACTGCCTTAAGTGGTAAGATTGTATTATTTCAAGAAAAGAAGGCAGCTTATAACTTCTCTAAAATAATTATACATATGAGGGGATAGATAGGTTATGTGATAGGATAAAATCTCTTAAGGTTTTAAATAAGCTTAAACTATGTGGTATCTAAACATTCACAGCAGGAATCAGAAAAAAAACACAAAACATTATGTGCCTTTTTAGTAAAAGCCAGTAAAAACTGGCTTTACCAAAATATAGAAAATATGTCTCCTGGGCATAGTCTTGATGAAAAAATAGTCAGAGGATGCTAACAAATCTTCTTGAGATCTTTGGTTTGTGCAATATGTTAAATCTATGAATAGTGTATAAATGTTCCTGTTCTATGAGAGCAATATCAAACATCATCTAATGCCTTCATGGAAGCAAATGAAAGAAAGGGTTACCATTGAATTGGGTAAGAATTTCTTTAAATATGCACTGGGGATATACTAAGAAAATACTGTCAAACTTCTTAGAAAATAAAATGCTTTTCAAAATGAATAAATTATATTCCTGCTTTGCTACACATGACAATTCTTGCCTTTGGGTGTGTGTGTGTGTGTGTGTGTGTGTGTGTTTTGTGTCTTAACCAAGCCTTTGCAAACCTATTGCAAAGGAGACGCAGGGGATTTCAGGAAGTCTTGATGTTTTATTGGATTGGCAAGATTGTATGATTTCTTAAAGCCCATATGGATTAAACAGCAGTAAAGGCTGTGTTTGCTTTTGTTATGTTTAAAATATCAGAGCATTGATTGTATGTGAAAGAGAGATTAATTCTCTTGACAGGTTTTGAAGCTGAGACAGAGCAAACATAAAATAACAGAAGTTGAAAATTTTCAGCATGTAGCCAGAATTGGTTGCTCTATGAAGCTAACTAAACTGTTAGTACTCTGGAAGTCCCAGGATGACGGGCCTTGGGAAGGCGAAAAAACATCCTAAAGAAGAAAGCGGCAGGCCATTCCATATTGTTGCCAAGAAAAGTGTGTGTGTGAAGACTTCAAAAATGAACTCGGTTTAAAGCCTTTATCACCATTGCCCTCTCTTATTTTCTGTTCAGTGTTCGTCAAGAAGTGAACTTTGAAATATTCATACATACTGTATATCTAATATTTTCGTCAGCTACAATACTAGATGCTGCTTCATACTGCAACTTGCTTTGAATTCTATGAGCACAATATTAGAAACTCTTGTGTTGTATAGATTAAAAATTGGTGCAATTTAATTTGGGAGAATTAAAATTATTGTGCTCTCTAGAAATCTTCAGGTTGAGGGATGCTCTAATTTTGTTTATCAACTGCTGTCTCCTACTGGATGGGGAATTCTGGGAGTTGGGAGTCCACACATCTTAAAGCAATTGAGGTTGAGAAACCATGCCCTATAAACTTATGGATGAATTGTAGAGGAAAGGTTAAATTTGTAAAAATATCTTCCCTTTTTCCAATGGAAGTCTTTGCTAGATCTGGGCCTATTCTGTTCTGTGGTTAGGGGGCCAATCCAGAAAGTGCTGAAAAATAAAACTCACAGACTGGTGGGACTTAAGTGGAGTGAAGTTTGCTTTCGTTTTAAATGCCAAAAGTCCAGGCCACCCCATACATTTTTAGTAGTATTCTGAAATAAGTTTCGAAGGAAAGATAAAATATATTTGATTTTTCCTAATGTTCTTCCTGCCACTGATGTGCTGAGATAACTTGCTTCCAGTTGGATCACTCTTGAAATTTGTTTATATTCCTGAATTTAATCCTCTTGTCTGTGAGAAAATTTGCTTTGGAATTGGTAATCCCCTCCCCCCAAATATACTTTGCTGCTAGTCCTCTTTCACATGAAGAAAATACAAGGAATATCTGTAACTATTTTACTACACTTGATTGTTGCTTCCTGAGAGTCAATTATTGATGGTGATCTAAAAATCAAATCAAGAATTAAATGTTATCCTGATTTGGATTAGGGTACTAGAAAAAGGGGACTAAAATGCAATACTTGGCAAGTCTGAATTTGGTAAATATAATCAATTAATTAAACCAATACATTCTTGTATAGTTAAATATCTACTAGACGTATTTCATTTGAAAGAATGCATTTGACTATCGTATTCTGAGAATACAATGTCAAAACCTTATTTTTTGCTTCAGGAGATAGATAGATTTTTATCATGCATATATTTTTCTCAGTTGGAATACTTTTCAGAGGGACAGAAAGTTTGGTTCCAGAATTTTCCTGGATTCTGTAGCTTTATGTTTCTATAGATGAGTGGGTCTTCATGACACTTTTAAAAAAGTAATTAGTTGTGTGTTCTTTAATATGTTTGGGTATTTTGATAACTTTATTTTATTCAATTGTGAGAAAGTATAAATTCATTTTCATAGATTACATTAATTTGAAATGTACCTATCTATGTGCTCCTAAAGTTAACTGGTCACTACCCATTATAAAATCATAGTAGAATCAAACTGAAAATAGACAATAACTGGAGATTTTGCTTTTCTGCTTTAGTGCTACGAACTTCTGGGAATGAAGACATTCAGATTGCAATCCTAGAAAGATTTATTCAGAGGTAAATACTATTGATGACATGTCTACGTAACTAAGAAAAATGTAATCAAAATATTTAACAGTAATTTTACATTAGCTGTATTCATACAAGTTATTTTATGCAGATTCCACCATACCATTGTCTTGTACTGAATTTTTAGTGTGTCTTTCTGGGCCTTCGTGTTCTACATTAGTTTACATTTGTCCCCCAAAGCGAAAGGATTTTTTTTTTGGGGTGATGTCAGCTCTGGACATCCCATTTCTATGCCTGAAAAAAATAAATGTAAAAACTCCAGATTCACCATAGGGAAGATACACTGTTCAAATGGACTAAAACAATTTCTTGAAGTATTTGGAAGTGCTGTCCAATAAACAGATAACTATGAAGGAATGTAGAATATTCTTTCTCAGCCTGTTTGATGAAAAACAGGCCCATGAGATACAGTTCTTATTTCGGATAGTTTCACCATCCAGCATTGTAGAAGACATGTATTTGCAGTTGTCTGGAAGAACCTCTTGTGATTGTGGCAAAACATTCTATGATGCAACTGATCCAATTTACTAGAACTAAAAATGATGAATTTATACTAATTGAGCATGGTTTACAAAAACACGGCCTATAGCAGTGGTGGTGAACCTTTTACTTACTGAGTGCCGAACAAGAATGCGCTTCGCGCCCTGTGGGTGCTCGTGTGCCATCCACAGTAACAAGTGGCTCCTCCCCACGTGTTGCGCGCACAACCGCACCACTGTGCATGTGCACAGCTTTCATGCATGTGCACTAACGCATGCTGCACACACAACCGCACCATATGCGCATGCGCACAGCTTTTGCGTGCACAGTGCACATGTGCAAATGCTGTCTGCACATGCATGCACAATCTCACGTGCATGTGCAAATATGCGCGCATACACAGGAGAGCTCCAAAGACCAGCTGGGTCCCCTGAATTGCGTACATGCGCACCAGAGGCCTGAGCACCAGCTGGGGCGAGTGCACATGCAGAGTTTCAGGTGAGCTTGGCAACGGCCTGAGTGCCCGTAAAAATGGCTCTCCGTGCCACTTCTGGCCCGCGTGCCATAGGTTAGCCAACACGGGCCTATAGCATTTGATTTCTAGAAGCCACATACTTGATTTCTAAGACAACCATATTTTACACAAGCTTACATAAATAGTGACAAAACTAAATATAGATTGATGCATAACCTTGGAAGATATTTTGCCATTTCAGTTTCTACAGTCCCGCATAGAAATCAAATGTGGCCAATTATGGATGCTGTTTGCCTACCTACCAATTTGCTTTGGCAAGTTTTTCTATTCCTGAGTAATGGATGTGGTTTGGGGTTATATTTACTTATCTGATATGGCTGACAGACACTTGTGTGTGTTCTTAAATAACTAGTAGCACTCATCAGATGTGCTACTAAATATCTGACTGCTTTGCAAAACTTCAGAATGTTTTTTTAAAAAAGATTTGGTATTGGTCTTTGACCTTTGAAATAGCAAACAGACTAATTTTGGTTCATGAATTTTGAAACTGATAAGATGATTCTACAGTCAGCAACATAGTGAAGCAATTTATTTCTTACTTGCATGTTCTATTAGCATACAAAATGATTTTCTGTTGAAACAATTTTAAGTTCTTACTGGAATTTTTTTGTAGCTGCAAACAAAGAGGTGTGGATCTCCGGTTAATATCCCTGGAATAGGGGAATCTCGTCTAATCGAGGAGTCCTGTTCATTTGTGGTTTACAAATTGTGGCTAGTCATGTCTCCAGAAATGTCCTTATAGAGTCCTAAATTCTCACATTTTCTATTTTAAGATCACGTAATAACAAATGTAAGCTACACTGGTGAGAAATTTATATTTTTTACAGACTTGTACTGGGATGGGACTAAAGTTCAAATGGACTTCAGTTTATAGAAATTGGTTTTGAGCCTGATTTTCTGAATTGCAAAATATATTCATGACCCAGACAAAAAGTGCACATTAGCAGAAGGAAGTGAGCAAATATTTTATTGTCAGGAAAACGTATGAGCAAACAATGACATTCATGTACAATGAAACAAATCCATTTTATTGGCACGTAAATAATAAAAATTCTAATAAAACTATACTTTATACAATCATTCTTACGTTTTCAAATCAGAGGAATAAGATAGCTGAGCCATATATATACAGATGGTAATATGCATTTAAATGTAAATCTGTGCCTGTTGTAGAATGCTGGGAATGGTCAGTAGTTGTCCTTTACTTCTGAAGGAAAAAAGCATCAGAATTATGCTTTTTGTGGGCACTCAATAACAAGCTTCTCTGCTGTATACAATTGACCAATAGTGACCTGGGGAAAAAGAAAGTGTAATTAATGACCTGATATACGGATTTTAATACACAGATTTTCATAGAGTAGCTCATTTGAAATTATGTGCTCATACGAAATTATGATAGAAGCATAATGTTGTCATTTGGGGAGGAGACAAGGACAGAGAAGACATATAAGCTACATTGGTGGACGCTTCCTTTTTCCTGTCCACATTCCTAAATCACATTAACATTGGGAAAGTTGAGGCTTGAAAAGTGAAAATGGGGTTTGGTTTGTGGGTGGGATCACATGCCTTGCGGTTCTCAAGCACGACTTTTATTCATTTTAATGGCAGGGAAATGTAAATAAAGTCACCTGGTTGTGGAGAAGACATCTAAAACAGATTCAATTCGTTTGTACCAGCAGGGGGTTGACAGGCTTTGGATTCATGGCGGCTTTGTTAGGGCTCTCCAAACCAGACATACCATTCTTATCTAATAGGTATAACAGTAAAATACGATTTTCTTTCTTTTGTTCAATCCTGCCTGATTCTTGGAGACTGCTGGGACAAGTTTTCTTGGCAAGGCTTTTCAGAAGTTGTTTGCCATTGCTTCTTTCTTATGGCTGAGAGAAAGTAATTGCCCAAGTTCATTCAGCTGGCTTTATTTCCAAGGCGAGACTAGAACTCACACTCTCCCAGTTTCTAGCTTGATGCCTTATCCTTTACACCAAACTGGCTCTCTAATATATCCATATAACATACCTATATCAAATTGTTTGCTTTTTTTAATTCAAAGTTGTCAATTTTCATTATGTTTAAACTTACTGAGGCTTCTACCAAAGTTATTACAGCTGTTGTTTCCTGTTTCTAGTACAGTACATACGCATTTAAACGCATAGAAAGAGCTTAAACAACTCTATCATATACTTTTTTCAGGATAAAAAAATATCAAATGCTAGAATGTAAAGAATGTAGGCATGAAAAATAAAACCTTCATAAATTAAAGGGAATGTCCACAGAGACAAGGCAGAATCCCTAGCCTTAAGTAATATTTGCAGAAAGTGACATCCTGAGTAATTGCAGTTAAGAACAGCTACATATATATGGGCACTGATAGGCCTGTAATAGTTTAAAAGGATAGCGGTGAGGTTTCAGTGAGCTGTTGTGTGTGTCTTTGTTTACACTTGGCGTTTGCAGTGTTTGCCAAAAACAAGAATACTGAATTGCCCAATCTATGCATGACCTAGAACACAACATTCCCTACCCAGTATTTTTGGCAGGGGAAAAAGCTAATAGATCAAATGTCCAAGGAGGTAGCTCCAGCTGATCACTTCTATTTAATCAAGGAAGAATCTCCCCGAAGGTAATCAACCCTTTCTCCTCCTCCCTCTCTGTTCTGAAGAGAAGCTTTTCATCTGTTGTTAGAATAACATCTTGAGTCTAGGCTTTTATTATTTATTTCACTTCTAACATAAATATATATTTCCCAGTTCAAACACATAATTTCTCTCTCAATACACTTAGTGGAATAATTGGTCACACAAATAAACACAGGCCTTTCTGCCAAATACAATATATAGACTGGTTCATCCATGTAAAATTTCTCATTTGATATCTGCAGTTAAAACTGAACTGATTTATTCAAGGCTGGATCACAGATGCAAGAGGTATCCCTTACAAGATGAGGGCATAATGCATTTGCTTTCCTCTAATTCATACATTTAACTGACCAAAGCTCGATACTCTATGATAGGGGTGTCAAACTGGAGGCCCGTGGGTCGGATGCATCATGTGCAGGCCACACCCACCCCAGCTCCGTGAAGGAGAAAAACATAGCAAAAAGTCATGTGACAGCAACGTGACACAGCGAGTTTGACCCCTGTGCTCTATGAAGACAAGTCCATGTGCAACTTATGCAAGCTTGCATGCAAAAGCATGCTCAGCTTTTGTTTTTTGTTTTTTAAATTGGTGAGAAATGGACCAGACCTGCAGTTTTAGCTGGACTTATATCTACATCTTTAGTAATAGAACACAATCTTCATCAGATGTATAAATACCCAGATGAGCATTTAAAGAACCTCAATTACTGTCAAGTAAACAATTCTTAGTATCTTTCAATAATCATACACATTAGATTTCTCTTCAACAGAATCAGCTGATACTAATTTTCCACCATGGCATATTTGGTGTACAGGTAGTCCTTGTTTAGCAACTATATGTCACGGTTCCCAAACCAAGCCAGCAAAAGAAGAGGCCACACTGTGAGCAGAAGACTCTTTACTGGAGTCCCAGCTTGGCACGTGGTGAACAATACAAGTAAAAGGGTTTCTAGCCAGCATTACTGGCTTCTGCTAGCCAGTATGGCTATACTGACTCAGCACGCCCTGCCCTGCTGTTCCCGCTCCCACTCCAGTTCCCGTTCCAGGAAGTACTTTTTGGGCCTGGCTCCAGCAAGTACTCTTTGAGCCTGGTTGCTCCCTGGCCAGCTCCAACAAGTACTCTTCAGGCCTGGATGGCTTGTGAAGCTGGCTTGCCTTCCTGGCTCCCCTCCCAGTGTGAGTCCCATCTACCGACACCCATCTGTGCCCCCCATGGACCCGCTTCCCCCTGTACATGTGTGGCAATTCTGAAACAGCATGTTGTGGCAACTTTGAACAGCGCACTGTCTCAGACATTGACACTATAATTGGGACAGGCAACTCGGTCACTAAGTGAAATCATGACTATACTTATGATCTTACTTCAGCTTATCTTTACTTTACAGACCTGTGAGTCATAAATGTGAGAATTAGTTACTTTTTAAAGTTACTAATTAGTTACTCATAAAGTTACTTTTCCTCACCATCATAGCTGTAAAAGGTTACTAAATGAGGCATTTGCTAAATGAGGACTACCTGTATTATATTTTGGTATGATAATGCACAATTTGGACATCAGTGCCTGTTTGAGGGCAAGTAGAAATGTAAATGCTTATTTCTACTCCCTGAACAAGAACATTTTTACAAGGGTTCCAACTTTTTCCCCTTCTGGCATAACTCTCTTCCGTTTTACCGTTTCCGTAGAAACAAATGAAAAAGCCAAAAATGAAAAAAAAAGGTTACCAAGTTCATAACAGCTTTAGAGCCAACAACTATGTTTAGAGTACTTTGTATTTGTTAAATTAATTCCTACTATATTTTTGGACAATAGTTTGATAAATCTTATTTTATTGCTAACCTGAAGGAAGCCAAGTTGAAATGCTGTTCCAATAATTTAACACTGGGAGAAGGGTGAGACTTGACAAATTCTTTCATAGCAACTACTTCTCATTTAGTGCTTTTGGCCTAATTACAAACAACCAAACTTCATGCTTTCAACTCAAAAATTTATTCTCATAATTCCTCTGTCATCCTAGTAATCACGCCTATTTTGTTATCCACAAAATGAACTTTCTCTTTTTCAACTAATACTGCAGGCTTGCAGGTTTGTGGGTACCATTAATATATTTTCTGGACAGAATGTATACTGTAAAAAATAAATTGTGCATAATCATTCCAAAATACAACATAGGCATTATTCCTCATTTAGCAAATGACTCATTTAGTAACCTTTTACAGCTTTGATGGTGAGGAAAAGAACATTTATGTACATTGCTCACATTTATGATTTTCGCAGGTCTGTAAAGCAAAGATCATAAGTATAGTTATGATTTCACTTAGTGACCGAGTTGCCTGTCCCAATTATAGTTGCTAAACAAGGACTACCTGTACACCAAATATGCCATGGTGGAAAATTAGTATCAGCTGATTCTGTTGAAGAGAAATCTAATGTGTATGATTATTGAAAGATACTAAGAATTGTTTACTTGACAGTAACTGTGGTTCTTTAAATGCTCATCTGGGTATTTATACTAAGGGGATGTAGTACCTTGTTTTGGAAATTTCTAGAACTAAAATACTTTATAATGGAGCCCTGCCCCCATGATATTATTGCATCAAGCAGAGCATTTAAAAAATGTTTTGGGATGTAACGTTTGTTAATTGGCAAGATATAAATGGGTAGTAGCAAAAACTTTTAGAAGAACATGGACAGGGGAAACCTTTTGTCCCTTCTGTGCAATTACATGACAGATAAATATTTACTTAACTAAAGCCTTCCACTCTGTTTGTATAGAAAGAGAGGCACTCGCCTGATATTAAGGCCATGAAAGGTCATATCAGATGGAGTCACCTGAGCAGGATAAAAGAAACAAAAAACTGCTATTCCTGACAATAAATGAAGAGAAGAAATTGCTATGGGCTCAGGTAATTTATAATTCAGCTTTGACAAAATAGGCGACAAACTCCACAAAGTAGCGTTGAAGCAGGGGACAGAGATTAAGCAAATCCTTAAAGGAGAGGTCTTCAAACTTGGCAGCTTTAAGACTTGTGGACTTTAACTCCCAGAATTCTGGGAGTTGAAATCCACAAGTCTTAAAGCTGCCAAGTTTGAAGACCTCTGTTTAAAGTATTCCATTGTCAGGTTTGAAAAAAATTCACTGCCTTGGAATAGTAAACATGCAACCTATAGAAAGCCTGCTAGATTTTAAAACTATCGGAAAAATAATACCTGAAATTCAAAATAGTAAATAGGTCAAATTTAGCTTGGTTTGCAGAGATCAAAAATCTTTTTCATGCCGGCCTGGAATTCTGGGAGTTGAAGGCCATACTTAAAGCTGCTGAGGTTGAAAAGCACCGCTCTAGAGACCAACTCGTCCATTTCTGCTCTGGTGCAGAAAAGCATATATGAAATGGTGGGGGAATCAGAATGATTCAAAGAAACTGATTCAAAGTCTAAGCACCACCTAGAATTATTGGCTGATCTAGGCTCTATCTGAATCTTAGTAGTTTGGAACATATATATGAAGTGCCAAAGGCTAGTCACTTTACCATATATGTACTTGAAAGATGTTGATTCTCAGATACACAACTCTGCATTTAGTATTAAAATGCCTTTTCTAGGATGTGTGTGTGTGTGTGTGTGTGTGTGTGAGAGAGAGAGAGAGAGAGAGAGAGAGAGAGAGAGAGAGAGAGACACACACACAGATTTCTGTTTGCTTATGGGAATGCAAAATGTGTGCAACATTGACCTTGAGGGCCAGAGCCCATGGACATCAGGTTCTTTACTGTTCATTCACTGTTTGGTACCCACCACAGTTGCCAATCATAGAGCAGGGTGTAGCTGGGATTCAAGGAGCTGGCTGTTTGCCCTGGGCAACTCAAATAACCTCATCAAGTAGAACTGATAAAACAGATGCTTTAAAGTAAAATGCTGTATATAGCCCTGTTAGTTAAAACAGCACTCCTAATCGCAGGAGAAAGAGGAAATTGTATATTTATGGCATGCAAAAATGGTAATTCTACTAATTTATTTGCCATTGTGGTTGCCACTGCAAAAAGACAGGAGAAATGTCTCTCTGTAAAGGGCGTGCTAGCTACAAAGTTCATATTTTTGGCATATCTGGAGGGTGACAAAATTGTTTTCCTCTTGGCGTCAAATTGTTTGCCAGACCTCATGGTTTCTGAAATGCCATGATTTTTAATGATTTAGGGTATGGCATGATCAAGCTTGCCTCTCTAATAACCATTTAAGAAAATGAATAATTATAGAGAAACTCCAACATTCTCATTTATAAAAATCTAAAAAACCCAATGACATTAATCTTAGGTGCCCAAGGCAGTGCTCCAAATCCTGAGATTCAAGCATGGGAAGACAGGTGATAATCATGGCAAATATATGTAGTGTATCCTTTCCTCACCATGGAACACTCAACATCAGCAATGTGAAGAATAGATACCTAAGCCAGAGAATGGACTTTCTCGTAGTTTTGAGTATGACACAAGGTGTCATGAATCATGAGAGAAGGAAAGAAAGTCTCTTCGTTATTTTAAGAGTTTTGCGCCCATGGGCGAAACTGAAAATCAAAGTTTTTATCAGTCTACATACACAGTAAGAGATTTTTCAAAACGTAGTAACATATCCAGCAATGAGGCAGCATCTTCCCTGCAAATGTCCAATACAAGATCACCTCCCGGAGATGGGCTTATAGAAAGAGTAGCGAGTGGATGTGCACAGAGTAGCATCCACTTTGCAGTTATCTTCATAGGGAAAATAAGGACAGCCACTAAGTATATCAATCCATGTGATTATAATAAAGTTTATCCCAAAGCCAAAGAAAGCAAAGAAGAAAATTCAAGGTAAAAGTTTCAAATATTCTCACTGACCTGCTTTCACTCATTTCAAGGCAAACTAATTAGCTTCATCTCCATTAATCGTATATTCATATTTCTACATATTTATGTGGTGGTGAAGAAACTCTTTGGTTATTTGTTAGCCTCCAGTAGAAAAATGGCCATTATTTTAACCTTTTCTTGAATATACTGGACTCTTCAGAAAACATGGTATATAGCTAAGTGTACAGCAGCTTGCATGCTTGCAAGGGTGATTACTAATGTTAATCCAACGTCAAGCTTCTACACATTACTAGAATGCCAGCTCAATGTGAGAAGCTCTGAGATCTGTCAAAACTTGCCATACAATGCAATAATCAATAGGATCTCTTATGTATTGTTGCTGCTCAAAGGCTTGTGCACATGCGCATACACATATATTTACAGGATCACACAATCAACTATGTATTTCTTAAGCAAGATAAACTATGAGCATGGAAAAAAAAGATAACTTATCTATTGATGTCAGGCCCAGCCCAAGAATTGCACAGAATAATCCAGCCAAAGTTCAGTTCTTTATTTGTTTATATCGGGTCCACAATACCTGGGCCAGAGCCTGGAACTGGACTGTACAAGCCGTGAGCGAGCACGCAAAGCTCCATTTGTGCAAGCAGCGGGCACACAAGCATAACCATCCCCCCTGACATCCCCCTCTCTTGCTGGTCCACAGCCAGAAAGGTTGGGGACTGCTGGTTTATACCATATAGATAGAATCTTGCCAGACTAAATTTATACTACTCTAATACTAATAAATGTACCCTGGAAAATTCTAGAGTGTAGCTATCCTAAATTGCTTCCTTTTTCTCAGATTCAGGTCTGGACTGTGTTGTCTTAACTCGTCCTTGGAACGTGCTCTCTCCTTTCTGGGAACCTTCCACTTCACTGTAGTCCATCATGCCACCTCACCCTTCGTAGACACAATCCACAATCCATCACACTTTTTATATTTAAATCTTAGATCCATGCATAATTGAAAATTATGGTGAGTTCAACACAATTTCAGCATAGACCTTGTTTGTGGATAGATCCAATTTTAAGAGCAGCATTCAGCTTCTGAATCAAAATAAGTAAGATTACACTATAAGCATTGGTCTGACAGTACACATTTAAATAAAGAATTCCCAATAGTTTGATTGTCCATTGATCTTCAATAAAGTATACCTGTCATAATCTGCTAGTTTATAGTAATGCTTATTTTCATACTGAAACAATAACATATAAGTCTATCAGTCTTTTAAGATGCACTTGAGCTTCAGAAGGGACATGGCCATTTGGAAGTCAGTCAGCCAGTCCCCATCAGTTTAGGGGAATGTAATTCCATGCATGTGGTAGGACATGCATGTAGAAAGAAATTCTATAAATGTTCTTTATCTTACATGCCTTTTGTTACCAATGATTTGCTTTTTTGTTATCAGTGATTTACTGATATAATCCAAACTTTAATTTTACATCCTTGTAATCACACATTGGAATACGTGAGAAGAACGTGTGGAGTGAGTGCTTGTCTCAAATCATTTTAGCTAAGAAATAGTTTACTATCTGTATTTTAGAGAGCTGGCTTATTTAAAACAACAACAACACAATTTCTGCTGTTTTTCCAGACTGCATATAGCGTGAGTAAATATAAGTGTCTGGACGTTCTGTGACCATTAACTTTTTATCTTGCTGACATTCAAAAGGTCATGTGTAGCCTGCAACCCCTTTTTTCTCACCCTCCAGAGAAATAAAAATTCTCTAGAATTGAAATCTCTATGATACAAACAGAAGCTCACTTCAAGGCTTGGATTCTAAATTGTTCCTTTGTCCATACGCACTAATTTCTGAAACCTCCCCATCAATTTGTAGCCTCAAACTGGGATCCCAAGTGTCTCCCAGTCTCTAGAAGCAAGGTTTCTGAAGTCACACAGAACTGCAAAACAAAAGCGGTGAACTTCCACTTATGAAGGTATGCTTCCCATTTGCCAACTCTTCATTTCTAAGTTTGTTTAAGCCAGGGATTCTTTGATTCTCTTGCTAATTGTTTGTTGTTGCATTGGGTATGTGGCTACCTAATTTTCTAACAAAGGAAGAATGAGCAAGTTTTTTGAAATGGCAAACTGCCATCCTTTTTCCCAGCCTCTGAGAAGTCCACAAGACATTGTTAGATTATTTAGCACATTGTTAATTATGAATTGCCATCTGTTTTTAACCTAAGAAGAACTGCAAACATGCAGAATCAATTAATACATATGAGCTTATTACAGCATACATACATTTCAAGAATGTTTCAAACATATTAAAAATGAGGACATTTTTCTACTGATATTTGTCTGAATCTATCCATACAAGATGATAACTAATTTAGGACATAGGAGTAAAGAAAGCATTATTTTTATAAGCATCAGTTGCAAATAATTACATTACAACCACTTGGGAAGAACTATTTAATTTGTGGCTCACTCTCAATATCCTTTTTTCTATGCAGGAAAGTATCAAACGTTTACCTATTCCCCTGTTATCCAGCAATAAACTGATGTTGGACTGAACTTTCTGCATGATTTTGTGACTTGTGTAGCTAATATACCAATTATTAATGAATACCTTTCTTGGGTACTGTGAAACACTTTCGAGCATTGAATTTTCAACCTACATGGATCACATTTTTAAAATGTGGTTAAGCAATTCAAGTAATATATGTTCATCCTTGTGAACTTATTTTAAGTTTATACAGCTTAAAGAAAAGAAGTACATCAGCCAACAGATGGCAGTGTTTCACTTTCATAGCAATTCCAAATTTTCTTTGTAAAAGGAACACAGAAATGCCTTTAACATACATTTATATAGTTATGTCCATTATGAAACATATGCACAATGAATACACAGCCTACGAATCTGTATGTATATTATAACATACTTGTGCTATAGAAAAATGGTTAGAACTACATTCTTGAAAGACTAGAATCTAATTACGGTAGTGGTTTTCTAATTGGATTTTAGAATGATAGTTTTATAATCCTAGTGATATCTATTTTGTTTCAGACGCTGTAGAATCTAGATAGATAATTCAGGTCCATTTTCTCCCATATATAGAGAATAATATTCTTTTTATAACTATTGGTGGACACTGGTAGCTTGTTCCTTTTTCAGTCTCTCTTTAAATGTTGCCAGTACAGCAATATACTGTATTCTACACCAGGGGTGGGTTCTACTTACTTTTACTACCAGTTCGCAACGGCAGTGGTGGGTTCCTCCTGGTTCAGCCCTGTTCTTCCGAGCAGGTAGCGGTGACGATTTGACGTCACCAAACTGGTTGCCCCCCCCCGCGCTCCCCCACCCCCGTGTTATTCTTACCTTTTATTTGGCCCCACCCCCAATCTATTGCTGCCTCCTAAGTCCCAGCTGATGGCTAGAGGGAAAAAACCTGTTGAAACTCTTGCCTTGGGGCTTCAAAGGGCCACCCTACAGCTGATCAGTGTTAAAAGAAAACAAATGAGTAGACAGGTGCCTGCAAAAATACATGAGAAGATCAGTGCCTGCAAAAATAAATGGGTAGACCGGTGCCTGCAAAAATACACGAGTAGATCAGTGCCTGCAAAAATACATGAGTAGATCAGTGCCTGCAAAAATAAATGGGTAGACCAGTGCCTGCAAAAATAAATGGATAGACCAGTGCCTGCAAAAAATAAATGGGTAGATTGGTAGAGCTCTGCAAGCAGTTAAAAGCCTGGTAGACCAGGACCTCAGCTAAATCCTAAATAATTGTTACATGACCATCAAGCCACGCCCACAAAATAAGCCACGCCCACAGAACCGGTAGTAAAAAAATTTAGAACCCACCCCTGCGCAACGGGATCGGGGGGGGGCTTCCTACAGACCCGTCTGTTACGGAATTTCTGCTGTGCCCCCCCTTTGGAACATTCTACCACCAGAGGAGAGATCCCATCCCCTTTTTAAACATTTGGAAGGCCCTTAAAACCTAGCTCTGGAAGTGGTTAATGGGTTAAGAGTGAAGATCCACTCCATCTTCTTGATTTTTAGTCTTTATTCAATTCTTACTAATTTTGTAATTTTAATCCTTTTGTCATTTTGTAAACTGCCCAGAGTTGCTTCAACGGTGAGATGGGCAGCATTTAAATTTAATAAATAATTAAAATTCAGAATAAAGGTAACAGTGATATGATAGAATATCAGTCAATTGTGCATACTTCTCTTCCAAATTACATGGATCTGCATGCATTTTAAATAAATTCAAGACCCTTATTTAAAGGTATACAAAGCACGAATACTGTATGCAAATATATCCATCAATTTCTTGGAGTCGCTCAGAATAACAATATCAATATACAACAATCACTGAAAAATGACATTTTTCAAAATCGTGTTACCTTCTCAGTCCCAGACAATCATACAGACAAATTTGTCAACTCCATGTTCCCTTCAGAATTGGTTGTGTTGAAAACCTAACCAAATTCAAATAGAAATGGCTCCCTTAAATGTAATGTATCACATTAAAGATACTTAGAATAGAGTTTTTGAAGAAAAAAGGAAACCATTCAAAAATAAATAAAACAATCTAAATAGAAAGGAGCAATAATCATAGAAGTTTAAAGTATTCTATAAAAAAATCTTAAGTAAAAGTTGGGGTAATTGGGAAAAAATAAAGGAGAAGAGGAAAAAAAGAATAGAGGGAAGGGTATTTGAATGCTTTTTTTTGTAAACACAATTTCCCCTCATTTTAATTTTTTCCTATTTTTTCTTAATCATATTAAATCTCATCTTTTGAATTCTCACTTCAACCTTTACCCTCAGGGTAAAGCCGGTACAACAGCAATAATAATGCTGTATTAATTTTAAAAAGGTCAATAGCATAGATGAGTTAGGAAGTACAAAAAATGGTTTGTTGGCTTAAGATTGAAACAGCTGAATTTAATTTCTTTTTTAAAAAAAAACAGTGGCAAGTGAAACAATGCTAACTTTTGAAACTATGCATATTAATACGGTATTTGCAAGGTTTGTCTACATTTGGACTTGAAACATTACCCATATGCTACAACTAAGACATTTGTTAATTTTAAGAATTAATCAAGAACTAGAAATATATTGACTCATGTAAAATAATTCCAACTAATTATATAGGTTTATTATGAGCTTTACATATTAAAACAACTTTTCTGTAGAAAATATCAAACACTTTAAAACACTTTAAAAAAATAGAGAATAATTATCACTACCCTTTTCTAGCCCTATTACTGTTTCCTATGTGGGTGGATAATATGAAGCATAAAATATTTAATGTAAACATCACCTCTATTTGAACTAGCATATGTTTAAACTTTATCTTGATTAATATTCACAAATGTAAGGTAGAATCCAAAGATGTGATACATGCTCAGAGAAATATATCAAGTTCTTAACACCTGACTAAACATTTTACCTATTTTGTTAGAGATAGTCATTATCTGAAATATATATATTCTCTGGGTCTCAATTATTCCTGGACTTCCCATCAACTGGAGATTCTAAGAACTTAATTCTAAAGTCCCTGAGGAGCTGACAGTGCTGTACCCAAATTCTGGTTCTAGTTATAAAGAAAACCTTCTATTCCCTGCAGGAGTCCCAAAGGTGCTTTTTCAAGAGGCAACTGGACTTTCTTGGTTTTCTTTGAAGACGTTTCGCTTCTCATCCAAGAAGCTTCTTCAAGCTTCTTGAATGAGAAGTTTCTGAGTTGAAGAACCTTCTTGGATAAGAAGTGAAATGTCTTCAAAGAAAAACAAGAAAGTCTAGCTGCTTCTTGAGACAACCATGACCTGGATGACTGAAAATCTCCTTAGACCTTTGGCTGGAGAAGCTTCTTGGACGAGAAGTTTCAGAGCTGAAGAAGCTTTTGGGATGAGAAGCGAAACATCTTCAAAAAAAAAACAAGGAAGTCCAGTTGCCTCTTGAAAAAGCATCTTTGGGACAACCATGACTGGATCACTGAGAATCTCCATAGACATTTATTTCCTTGCAGGAGTGCAGAAGGCTGGGGGAATCTGCTTCAGGACATTTCTCCTGAACTGCCTGGACTAGTTTCTGCAGTTTTCTTGGCAAGATTTTTCAGAGGTGGTTTGTTATTGCCTGCTTCCTAGGGCTGAAAAGAGAATAAAGGCCCGAGGTCACCCAGGTGACATTGGGGCCAGTGGTGGGTTGCTACTGGTTCTCGCGAACCGGTAGTGGAAATTTTGAATAGTTTGGAGAAACGGTAAATACCACCTCTTCTTGGCCCCGCCCCCAATCTATTCGCTGCCTCCCGAGTCCCAGCTGATTGGCTAGAAGGAAAAAAACTGTTTAAACTCTTGTCGCGGCACTTCAAAGGGCCACCCTACAGCTGATCAGTGGTAAAAGGCAGTATTGTGGTAGACCAGTGCGCTCCAAAAACAAATGGGTAGACCGGAACGCTGCAAAAACAAATGGGTAGACCGGTGCGCTCCAAAAACAAATAGGTAGACCAGAATGCTCCAAAAACAAATGGGTAGACCAGTGCGCTCCAAAAACAAATAGGTAGACTGGTACGGCCCTGCAAGCAGTTAAAAGCCTGGTAGACCAGTACCTCTACTAAATCCTAAAGAATTGTCACATGACTATCAAACCACGCCCACAGAACTGGTAGTAAAAAAATTTAGAACCCACCCCTGATTGGGGCCCAAGCTGAGACTAGAACTCAGAGTTTCCTGGTTTCTAATCTGATGCCTTAAGCGCTACATCAGAATGGTTCTCATAGGGATTCTAAAGGCTGCCAAAAAGAGTCCACCTAATTTATACTTCAGTCCAACACATTTCTTTATCCCTATGCAATACAGTAACTACGAAACCAAACTTGAATATTTGTAGAGGTCACTCAGAGTGCAATATACATACCTTGATCTGGACATTAGGATCTAATGACAAATTTGGGGGATTACATCAAACTTCAAAGAACTTGCGCAAAGATACATTAAAAATAACAATTCTGTCTGACATTATGTATGACAGCATATTAAGGAAAACCCAGATTAATGTACATTCATTCCTTTAACATGTTTTAAAGGCTTTCCTATTTCACTCAGCAGGCAATAATACTACAATACAACATAGAAGTTTATTTATTAAATTTTTATGTTGCCTTTATTATTTTTATAAATAATTCAAGGCAGTGAATATTCTAGTACTTTATCCTCCTCTTATTATTTTCTTTTTTTAATCTTAGTTTCCTTGAACTAAAGTTTATTCTTTCAAAAAAATACTCGGAAGAAATAAAAAATAAAGGGATGTAATATTTTAAGCAACAATCTTTACAGCACTGTAGTTGCGTTTGAGATGAGATTGAGGATGTTTCCATTGTTGGTCTTGGATGTGGTAGTTCTCTCCCTTTCTGGACTGGTGCTCAACTTGGGGGCTCTTCTGGCCTTGGAGCTACTTAAAGAGCAGATAGCAACTGTGGACAGGAGGGCTTTTGCATAGATTAAACTTGTGTGCTAGCTGCACCCCTTCCTTGACTTGGAGACCCTTCTGACAATTACTCATGCATGCAACTCAGCCTGGGCTACCTTCTGTACTATTGCCATGGTGAAGGTAGCCAATAGGGTCATTGTCAGGTGCAAAAAACAGGACAATTTGTGTTGATTGCAGCATAAATGATTTATTGAAGCCTATACACAAGAATTGGGTCAATTAATGCTCAGTACTAAATTGGTGTTAGATAAGGGTCAACAGAATTCAAGGGGGGGAAAAGACTTGGATTGCTTGTGGCAATGCAAGTTTTCTAAACTGCTGACATATTTTACTCTGCCCCCAGCTTTGCCTCCTCTTCTCCTAGACTCTAGAGTCATTTCTTGACTCATGTTTATATACCCATTTTAAACAGTAATTGAGATGTGAACTGGGACTACTGTTAGGACAGCTACATGAAGACAGACTTTGCAAAAGCATTCAAGCTGTTGAGGGAAGGCTAGGGAGAACCAAAGAATTTAGATTGGACACAAAGTACAATTAGCTAGAACATTCCATCTGTACCAACCCAACAGGATTTGTTTTAAAAATCAAAGCACGCTGCTTCTCCTATTTTTCTCTCCCCTTAAAAATAAATGAGGTATATTAATTTTTAAGGAAGGTCACATTTAATGTGCTTTTAAAAAAAGGGATTAGACATTTTCCAACTAGAACTTTCCACACAGTCACATTAGCATGCCTATCCCTTAAAGGATGGGCAGGATGCTCTTTTCATTATTGCAATTAACCTGCTCCAGATTGGAATGCAAATTATTTTAATAAGTAATATCATTGTTAATTCAAGTATTATAGAGAATACTAATTAAAAATACAAACTCGATTAAAGAGTCATTTACTTAGATGGTTCATCAAAGAGAATGTCACCGAACGCATAAAAGAATTCAAATCTTCCTGTTATAGCATTATTGCAAAATAAAACAGTTTGTGTGTTGTCTTCCAGATTTACAGAAGAGATGTGTTACAATCTGTCTAAGTGTCCTACCATTAAACTTCATTTAAGCCTGCTTGACAAAGTTTGAAAGGAACTTATTCTTGTCAATGAAAACAATGAAGTCATAGACTCAATATGATTAGCTGATGCATAAGTTATTTTGGCATAGAAAGCACTATGAGCATATGCAATGCCTATTCACGAGCCCATAATAAAAATACAATGCTAATTTATCAAGAGCCTGAAAATCTGGAAGCCAAAGATTGCATTTTGTGCAGACAGCAACTTGATCAGCCTCAACACAGAGGTGTCATAACAGGATCCCTGTTGGAATAGTAGTTAGAAAGTGGCATATTCTCCTCCCATCTAAGAGACAGAAGGAAAGCACACGTAGGTATGTTTACGTGGAATAGTATTTCTTACACTTTTTTCTCTCTCTCAGGACCACTTCTCAGTTTTAAAAATTATGGAAGATCCCAAAAGAGCTTTTGTTTGTATGGGCTATATTTATCAATATTTACCATATTAAAGATTACAGTTGACACATATACCGCTGCAGCCACTTCTCATAATTGTTTCATGGGATTTTAATACTGCATTACTTTTCAACATAGGCCGGCAAATAATTTTGATTCTGTAGACCCCCGAGTAGGTTTTGGAGACTTCCAGGATTCCTAGGACCACACTTTAAGAAACACGGTGTACCTCAAGCCATGGTAAAAACGGATGCACTGCAATCCAGGGGGCTTAGCCCAAACTGTGATTTCAGTAGACTGTGAATTCATGCCATATGTGAAAACAAGTATGAATCAAAACTCAATGTCATAACATTGATCTATGTAGCCCAGAAAATTATAGTCCTGGACGCAACTTGCATTCCCACTACTGCTCGTTATTTCTTCATCACATCGCTTAATGTTTTCATATGCAACTCCCACAATCTCTTGCCATTGCTAACACAGGGATGAATAGGATGATTGGAATTGAAAACTGCTAATAGAT